CGGGGCTCCGCGCCTTCAGGAGCATGCGGCGCTGGACAGCTCCGTCCCGCCGGCCACCGGCGCCGCACAGCGGACCCCGGGAGCGTCCCTCCCTCTCTCCCTTCCCTTCCTTCCCTCCCTCCCTTCCTCCCCTCCCTTCTTTCCTTCCTTCCGTCCCTCCATTCCGTTCCTCTAGAGCCTCGTCCCCGCCTTCTAGTGCCTGCGCTTGCCCTCTGGGAGTGTGTCACTCCTAGGGATGTGCAGCAAGCTAGTGGGCAGAGGACAGCACAGGAGGAAGGGGACCTAGAGAGAGGTTTCTAGGGAGCCCTGCAAGAGAGAGAGGGTGCAAGTGGTGGTGTGGAGGCTGAGCCAGAGGTGCTCAGCAGAGGGTTTACACCAGGGGTAACGAGGATGAGGGATGGAACACTGCCACGTCTCCCAGGGCATGGTGGTGCCGTGGTTAGGAGGGGCTGCAGCAGCAGCCACCAGAAGGTGTGTGAAGGCTTCAGGGCTGATCTGACAATATATACCTCCTTAAGAAGGACTTTCTTCCCTACTCCTCCTGTTTCCTAATCCCTCGGTAATGTGGATTCCAAGGAAATTTTTGTGCTGGTGGGATTCTGAGCCAAGTCTGGAAGAGCTTCCAGTCTGCCCTGTCTACTTCCCACCAGCTGACCCATGGGATGTTCAGGATGAACCAAGGCTGAGGAGGTGACTGATGGCCAGAGCCATGCTGTGGCCCTGCTTCTGTCCCAGGGATGTTTGACACCTGCAGGAGGGACAAGAACAGAGCCCTTCCTGAGTTGCTCTCTTTTACTTGGCATGGAGGGTCTGTGATGGCATGGCCAGGGGAGAGGCATTGCACTGTAAAGAGCTGGGTTCATTGCTCAGCTTGATGACATCACACTTTTGTCTCCTCACAGGCCAACCCTGCTCCCATTATCGTGAACACAGACTCGCTGGAACAAGGGCTCTCTGTAAGTCTACTGATTTTGTTTCACTTCCTTTGAACAAGTGGTGTGCTTTCCCTGCTTACCAGTGCAGGAGATGCTCCTAAAGCCCAAGGAGGCCCCAGCGAAGTGGCAGAGAAGCCTAGTACCTGTGCAACATCCCTACAGCACATCCCACCCCCTAACTTTGCTGGCGCTGGGTGATGCTAAGCAGAGCCAAGGCTAGCAGCAAGCAATGCTGCAGACTCCAGCACAGGGAGGGTACAAAGCTGGAGGCAGTCAGAGCAGCACACTGTGGGGTAAGCAGGCATCAGAGGAGCAGGAGAAGCTGGGGTGGCTGTGTTCAGGGTTACCTGTACAGCCATTTCCTCAGCCTTGCATGCAAGGTGGCTGTAAGGCTCTGCTGGAGGATTCCTTACCTTTCTGCACTGCCTTGGGCCCCTTTGGCAGCCCTGGCTCTTCAGGAGGCAGCCTGCGCTCTCTGGGCACTCATCAACATCACACATGCTGCTCCTCAGGGCAGCAGGACCCATCAGATGCTGCTCCGTTCCCAGCGAAGTCTGCCAGCAGCTGAGCAATGCTTGGTGACTGTGAGTGTTTGCAGCCACAGTGCCTTTGGCACTCTTGGTGTAGTGTAAAGATAATCTTCCTCAGTTTGTTGCAGAGAGGGTTTGCATGGTGCTACATCCTTTCCCAGAACATTTGCAAATCATTCCTACCAGGGGCATATAGGGAGCAGGTTCAGCATGAATTTCTGCAGCACTGGCTGCATGCTTGTGGAGCAGTTCCCCTTTTTCCCCAAAGGGAGCTCAGCTGACAGCTTGCCAAGGCCGGGTCCTTTACAACTGGTTTTCTTCTGAAACAGCAAATTTCAGCTCTTCCACATTAATGAAGCAGCACCAGGACTCAGAACAGGGGTTGGTGTGTCTTTGGAGTTGCAATGGAGGGGGGCAGGTGACGTCTGGTGGTGGTGGGACCTACCCTGTAAAGAACTGCAGATCTCAACCTGCAGCATGTGGTGAGGTCAGTGCGCATCAGAGCAGTTCTGGGCTGGTTGGGCAGAGCTACAAAAAGGAAGGGAAGCTCAGCTGAGACCTCTGCAACCCTGGCTATATTGTTTAATTATGCCTTGGCTGTTGATCTGAAGCCACCTGGCACCGAGGAAGGAAGGCAATGGTGCCTTTCTCAGCATGGTGGTCCTGGGTACAACAGCCTTGTATGAACATGGCCGAAGAGAGTTGCTGTCCCCAAATGTTTCCTTCTCCACACACATAGCACGGCAGGGTGTTTGTAGGGTTGGAGGCTTCTTACAGTGTGCTGGCCACGCAGGCTACAGAGCAGTGCTGTGTCACAGCCTGCTCTCTGTGCTCACCTGGCTGGTGCTGTCCTACAGGGAACTGGGAAAATGGCAGTGTCTCTCGGAGAGGAAAGACATGCCACAATGTGAAGTGAGAGGTGTGGTGTGTACACGGGGGGGAGGTGTTCTTGGATGGGAAGTCTGCTTTCACGTGTGTTTTGTACCCTCCCTCCCTTGAAGGAAAGTTGCCTGCTTGCTGCTTTCCACTGCAGCCACTGGTACCACATCCTTCACCAGGCTCCAGCCATGCCTGTCCCTCCTCTCTGCCTGTGTACCCAAGGGTACAGTAAAGATAAGCCTGAGGGCTAAGGACAGGCTCTGTCACTCTGGGCAGGCCCCTGAGCCCTGTAAAAGCCAGCAGCAGGAAGCCCACCTGTGGGACCAATGGCTGCCTCCCTCTACTTCATCTCATTAACTCCATGTCCCTCCAGACCACTCTCCCTGCAGCTCATTAGCTCCATACCTCTGTCTGCCCCTTCTCCCTGTGCCTTGGTGGCAGCTCCTTCTTGCTGTGCTGGATGGGCGCTCCCTTCCTGCAGCCCCTGGAGTGGGTTCGGCTGGGTTCCAGGGGATGCTCTGCACCCCTGGCAGGTGACAGCATCACCCTGGGGGCAGAACACCTACCTCAGCAGCACATGCAAGGGGGGCAACTGCCCTGCGGTGGTCAGAAGGAAGGTGCAGGTCGTGGCTGTCATCTGCTGGGCAGAACAGGGACCACCAGCCCTGTGCCCACATGTGTGCTGCCTGCAAGATGCCCAGAGGAACCTGTGCCCAGGACAGGGGAGCCATCTCACTATTATTCCTCTCAACCTCAAGCCTGACAACTCTCTTGCCTTCTACTTCATGTCGTACCAGCACAGAAAGAAGCCCTGCTCCATCCTTTCCTTCTCTGGGGTGCCAGGCTCCTCAGGCTTCAGGGAAAGCACACCCCAAAATTTCCCATTCAGCAGTTTCCTACATCACCAAAGGAGCCACACCAGGGACTTGCTGCAGAGGAGCACATAAAAAAGCAAATCTTGAAGCATGTTTTTTGACTAACCCAAAAGCTCAGGGCTGTTGGCTGAATATGTATTTGGAAGGGTTAAAGTCACATCTTCCAGTCTTTAATTACTTAACTATTCAGTGCTTTCCTTAATTATAAACAGATGGATGTAGTCTAGTTCCTTCCTGTTCTAGCTCTGTTGATTGGACTAGCTGCTGGGCTGAGTTTGACCCTGGCTGTTTATCAAGAAGCCTGCTCCACATTTCAATCTCTCTGTCCACCCACCTTCATTCCCAAGAGCATGTGGCACTAGCAGCACCATAAGACACAAGCTGCAGCACTATGGTCCACTTACCACTGGGGCTGGGGTTGAGCTGTGCTGCCTGAGGCTTTTGCAGAAGCCAGCACCCCCAGGGTGTAAAAACCCAAATAAATCCTTATAAAAGACCTGCTGTATTAAAAGCTTCCCTTGAAGGGTGAGTGCTGGCAGGGGATCATCCATGCCAGCTCCAGGTTGTTGCTCATACTTTCACCACTTGGTCTGTTTTGCCCAGTGGGTCCATAGTGGGGAGATGGAGCACCAGAAACACAGTTCCTGTGGAGGCTGATGTCTCTGCATTTCAGAGCTACTCTCTGAAGCTGAAACAACTTCTTGCTGTGCAGGGTGCATGGCAACTGCTGCCAGGCTGTCCCAAAATGAGCAGGGAAGATCACTCCAAAGCCCTTAAGAAGTTGAAGATTTCATAGCCTGGGTCCTTGGAACCCTCCTTTGGTCCTCCACTGCCCAGCAGTGAGGTGCCACCAGTGTTTAAAAGCCAGGTCTGAGGAAGCCAAGTGCTCCCAGGACTGATCCTGGCCAGAGAGCACCACAGGAGCTCTGGGCTCTGCCACTGGTGAATACAGACACAACCTCCTTGTGCAGTGCTGACTCTGCTGCCAGGGTCCCCAGACACGGTCACTGCAGACTGGGGCAGCAGAGGTGGCCTCCACGGTCCAGTGCATATAAGCAGGGCAAAACTTGCTTGTAAGCCTGAAAAAAAAGAAAAGGAAAACAAACAAAAAACACACCAGAAAAAAAAAAAAAAGGAAAAAAAAAAAAAAAAAAAAAATAAACACAACTAAACTGCCACCCTCACATTTTGGTCCCAAGCACTGGCAGTGACACATCTCAGTGCCGCTCCCTGTAAGACATGGCTGCAGAGCCCTCCCAGCTGAGTGCTGGGACAGTCAGGCTTCAAACCCCTTCCCTCTGCCCAAGCTCAGGACACTCAACCCCATGACCCTTTGGCAAAAGGCTGACCAGACATACAGCACGTGTCTACTCAGTGCACGAGGCCAACAGTGTGGACGGGGTAGGCAAGGAGGTTGAGGCCAGGGGCTAGCTGGAGACACGTTGGTAGGTGTCGGTGCTGCGGCGGGATGCAGACACAGGGAAGTGAAGAGAGTGAGCTCTTGACCTATTTCCTCTGGGCCCCTGCCACGTGCAGGCAGGGCGAGCTCTCCCTCTGAAGCATTGCCTGTGCTTTCTCCAGCAGGGAGGCATCACACCTGCTACCCCAGCACAGGGCTGTTCTCCTTTCCCTTGCTGAGGTAAGCATGGGGCATCGCCAGGCACCTTCCATTCATGGGTCCAGCTGGCACTACCCTCCAGCCTTCTACCTCTCTTCATTATATCAGTACACAGCTACTCCACCACCAGGTCCTGGTGCCTGTTCCCACCATGTCCTTACCACAAGGTACAGGCTAGATCCTGCTACACAAGTGGCTGCAGTCAGCGTTATCCTTTGTGCAGGTTATTTCCTCATGCAGCCTGGTGGGCTATTTGGGCTGGGTCTGAGGAATCCCATCTTAATCTTTGCCTTTTTACTAAAAAAAAAACAAAACAAACAAACCCAAAAAACTGAACAAATTCTCTAAAGTATTGCAAAGTGCATTCCATGTGCGCTGGTGTGGTGTTGGCCAGCAGAGCCTGAAGACAGCTTGCAGTAGCTTTGGAAGGTGTGTGCTCTTCTGTTTATCAGATGAGCATTAACTCTGCAGCCTTCTGTTGATAATTTAAATGTCATCATCACTAACTATTTCCCTGCTGCTCAAAACATGAAAGGGAAGCGAAGGCCAGTGAAGGGTGCCTCTTCTTGGGCCCTCAGGTGGGTTTGCTGTGTGGGAAGGGCTTGGAAAAAAATGTCCTTACTCTTTTCCATGAGAAGTCAGATTGTGCTTAGCATTGGGATATCCTGGGAGTTCATTAGCCCCCAACACCCCGTCAGCTCTGCAGGCATTACATGGGGAGGTGGGAGCAGGGTGGGATGTGCTCTCCATGACCAGGGACAATGGAGCTGGGTATCTCCCCACCAAGCCCATAGGCCTGAGGTTGCCTTAAATGGGAGCTGAGGAGGAGTACAGGGCACTAGTAAAGGAGTGAAGGAACAGCCTGCAACAGAGCCAGGTTGCAGCAGCTCTGCTGTGTGCCATGGGGAGGTTTTGCTGTCAGTGAGTGACTATTATTCAATTTTCTGACACTGGAACGTTTTCTTTGTTGGCTCGTTCCCTTGGTTACGTGGTATATATTAAGTTTTCCATTTGGCTTCCTTATTCAATTAACTGGCATTCTGTAGCATGTGTTTTGGAAATGTAATCAGAGCTCAAACTTTATGGTCAGGCGTGGCTGACCGCAGCGTGCCCAGCTGGAGCAGGCTGCCCCCAGCACACACCACGCCGGACAGGCGCTGACGCTGCCTGCGTTCAGGGGCTGATGCAGAACACCACTCAGCCTTGGTAGCCCTGAGCTTTGGGGAGCGAGGATACCCCAAACTCACCTGCCTGGCAGTGGGGTTGCATGCTGGGGTGTCTCTGCAGCCCAGGTGCTTGCTGGCAGTGGCCACTCGTCTGGCGGGGCCTGCATGCTGCTGGCTCTCTCCACGGCTCACAGATTGTCAGAGTTTTCTGCACATCCCCATCCTGTACGTATGTGTGTGCTGTTCCTCTGCGGCCGTGGGTGTGCATATGGCTGGCTGTGTGGCAACTGTGTTGAATGCCAAAGCAGAGAGGACAATGTGTGTAGTAGCAAAGGGTGCCAGAAATCTGAGTTGCTGGAAAGCTGGGGAGAGGTGACACTGTGCCCCACGCACCAGGCTACCAACTGTGGAGACGAGGTGGAGGCTGCGGCGAAGGAGGCTGTGAGGGTGGTGTGGGCCAGCGAGCCAGCGCTGCTCAGGATTAGTCAGTACAGTAGGATGTGAGGAGGGAAAGCCAGCCGGTGGCAGAGGGGGAGACTGTGGTGAGGGAAGTGATCCTCCCACCCCCCCAAGGGAGCATTGCCTAGAGTAGTGT